AGGTTTATGGACTATTGGTGGTCTCTGATTTTGGGCAAGTCTGTCCAGAGGGGTGAGGAACCTGAGTAAGGGAAATGTATTGTTCTTTAATATTTCGCCTAGACTTTTATATTTCTTTTGCTATAGGAATAAGAAGCAGAAGCATTTGGAAATTCTTATTTTATACATTTGCATTGATTTATTTATGTGAGGCCCACCAGCCCTGCAAGAGTTGGAGGGTGCTGCGTGAATGCATGCTGCCTTGCAGCCCTCGCTGAGCTGAACACGTCCCAGGATCTGAGACTGCACATTTAGTGCTGAACTTCCGTAATGTTTGGTCAGTGCATTTAGATCCTCAGAGAGGAATTGAACTCTAGAGATATCCTGCTTTTTAACTAAGCTTGTGTGTGTGCACATGCATGTACACATGGGTCAATTTTCATTCAAAAATTGGTTTGCTCCTGGACAGCAACTGTAGGAACTTCTGCCAGAAGCAACAACAACCTTGCCCTGATCTTTCTTTTAATAAGCAAGTGCACGAGTTGCTCCTATTTATCGTCACAAAAGACCTAAATGCTCTTAAGACTGTTATGCTGACCAAGGATGTCTCCATTGAGATCAAGGCCTTAATATAGGTTCAGGTTAGCATGCAGAAAATGTTAAATGACACATTTTTCCCTAAACTGTTCATCATTTTCAAAATTACTTTGCTCAAGCTATTGCTGCTTTTTGCACAAATGCATGCAACGTTAAGACATTATAGAGGAAAACAAAAGTCAGTCTTAGGTGTTAATCAATGAACTTAATGTCTGAAAACCATGGTTTAATCCTAAAATCTACAGCACTAGAAGACGGAACTCACTTCAGCTATGCTGTGACACTCACAAAAGTTGAGTGTGAAAGTTAACACTCTCTTAGGGTGGGTTATGTGGGGATTCTTAAAGCCCAAACTTTAAATTTGCACATATAAATGCATAGATTTTTAAAGCCAGAAGGAACCACCACGATCCTGTCTGACCTCCTGTATAAGAGAACTGCAGAATTTCACCTAGTAATTCACTGCCAGAGCCAAATAACATGAATGTTCATGCCAGAAGTGGTTGTGCTTTAATTCAGTAAGGGAATAGGTATGATACCAGGCTGTTTATCCTGCAATCTCCACAAAGTAACAGAGCCCAAATAATGCATACCAAGCATCATATTATCACAGAGAACTTGTGGTGATAGTAATAGGAATTGCTAAATGCCTCTGAATAACAAATAAATCTGATTAAACCACTCTCTGCTAGTGGCTATCCTGTCAGCGGGAAAGAGCATAAATCGTTAGATATATGATTTATAGAAAGTTATTTGCTCTTCTGAGTAACTCTTTCCATTCTTGGATCTTTCATATTCTGATACTAATACCTTTTGCAAATAATGCAAAATGATGTACATTTTAGCAGCTGCTGGTTAGGTTCTCAAGAGGAAACATTCTCTAATAGCCCTGTGCTTCTGAGGGGCTTTTACAAGCAATAAAATCCAAAGCATACAAGTGAGATTTTTGTCAAAGATAAGTTATAGAAACATAAATTCGACTTTGGATTTTTTTTCATTGCAAGACAAGTCCAGATGAAGTGAAACCAGATTCTTGTGTCCTCCGCCCATGTGAAGGGCGAACTGCCTATGTGTTAGAGCTCGTATTTGGAGCTCTGATGTACCGGGAAAGGGCCACTGACTGAACTCT